TATATGTATGTATATAGTTATGTTTATGTATTTATATGTATGTATTTCTGTGTATGTATATGTATGTATATGTGTATTTATATGTGTGTATGTGTATATATATATATATATATATATATGTATGTATATGTGTGTTGGTTTATGTTTGCTGCCACGTGTATATATGTGTATGTATGTATGTACGTATGACTATCCACTTATTTCTGTAGGTATTTCTTTTTATCTTGTTTTTCTTCACCTAATATATAATAAAACTATTATCAACTTATATGATTAAAATATATGTTTTTATAGATATTTGTAGATTTGGAATCTTCGTTTTTTAATATATCAAATAATATTATTCTTAACCATTTTTATATTTGTATATTTGCTCGCTTAAGTTCTATTTTAATAAGTGGCTAGCATTTATTTAATGACACTTTCAGTCTTAAATATTTATTGATTGTGGTATCTGATTGTCTAGGTCAATGTCGATGGATGTGTGTACATGTATTTATCGGTGTCTATGTGTATGGAAAGTGCATTCACTTTTAATTATGTATGTATGTATGTGTTGCCCCCCCTTTTTTTCATGAAGGGCCGTGAAGATGTTCTCTGTCTCGTCACTTTTTTTTGTGTGTATATATATCTAAATATGCTTGGATGCTTATGTATTATAATCTGATTGTGTTTGTGTTGTTTTGCGCGTGATTTTACGACCCCATTCGCACACTTGGTATTAAAATGTATACACATATATCGTCGGAGGACCGGACGGAGTAACGACTTATTCTAACGTAATTTCTACGAAGAAATAAATTGAATAACATATGTATTTCCCCTTTTCTCTTCGGTAATTTTATAATTTTAAACTTAATAGTGATTAAATTTGGATTTTAAAATTGGCAGTTTTTAATATCAAATCCTATCATATAATTTAATAATTATTGGCTAGAATAAATTCTTTTTTAATTTTACCCGTATTTTAACGATCTGAATAGCTATTATAACATGACTTCGTTGTCAGGCTTTTTGAATTTTCCTATACTTGTATTTTGATTGGTCATTCTAGCTTTTGGAACAACGATTTCCCCTTGTGAAAGATCGTTAACGAAACGTTGAAACTTTTAAAACCATTTGTTTTGCATTCAACAACATCACTTGATAAGAGTGTTGAAACAAAATGGCTATTTTTGTAGGGATTTTATAGCATGTTTATGTTATAAATTTTCTAAATAAATAATTATATCTGCTCTACTTTGTAATGAGCACTCTTTTAAGAATAGTAATTGTTGGTTATTGGAATTAATTCCGTATACACCAATTATATACTTTATATATATATATATATATATATATATATATATATATATATATATATATATATATATGTGTGTGTGTGTGTGTAGAACAGACGATGTTGTAATAATTTCCATTAAATAGTTATATTTTTACCACTCACCTATAGGCTACTTGGCCAGGTTGCGTGATGATTTCCAAACAGAACACAAACTGTCGCCTTGCCATCAGCCCCACTGAATATAGTACTATGTCACATCTCATCATGTCACGCTTTAAACGCATTAGAACCACTGGGGTACCACATGTGCTACACCCATTGCAGGAGTAAAATGTCTAGAGCAAGTTAGCCTGACTGAGACCATCCCTCTTTAGACTACTTTTCAATTCCTTTTACGTCTAGACTGGTAATCGCGAGGGAGATTAAGTTATATAATCAAATTTTCTTTCCAGCTAACGAAATCGATAGGAGTTCGAATAAAAGTCTAATTAGTATAGCAAAAGTATGGATTATATAAACGCCCAAGCAGTAACGATAGAACATCTGTATGGATAAAATACGAATTAAATCTCACTTCATAACAGTAATATTAGCTGTTTTCTTATAAGGAAACATTCGACATTCATTGACCGAGAAGTCAGTGCTATTTTCACTTGAAATTAATTATTCTATTGAAACAATACTTCAAGTTCACTAACTTTTTCCACTATTGATGGAAGAGGGGGGCTTCTTTCCAAACCTTTTTTACGTAGCGTGAAACGTCGTGATTATGCCATTATTTTCTATTCAAGTTATATATGCCATCCATTTCACTAGTCGTCGCTGTAGAAAGTTCTGAATTTAGGTGGTTTCTGTTATTTGGTACAATTCATTGTTGATGGTAGTGTAGCGGTTTTATAGACTGTTTCAATTTAGAATAATCAACTACAGCGATTGATAGCTCTGAGGATGGATGCACCATAAAAGAGTTGCGAGTTCCGAGAAGCTGGCATTGTCGGAGTTCGTCAGTCCACCCAGTTCACATTTCTCAATTTGAAACTGACTTGTCAATTTGGATGCTGACTCTTCACATATTTGAAAGATATTAGTCCAATTTGAAGATCACTGTTGTGAATTTGTTGTTGAAAATGTATAGATATACATGTACCTGAGAATTAGATCACGGGCAGTTGTTTAATATCAATGGTATTATGACAATATCCTTCTTCACCTTCTTCTTCTCCTCTTCCTTCTCTTTCTTCTTCTTCTTCTTCTTCTTCTGCGTACTGTGTTCCTTCAAGAGATGCACAACACAGTCCTCCACAATTTCTTGTCCTTTGTAAATATAGTCTTTTCACTATCTTCCATGAACTCTCTTCTTCCAACCATTTACACAAGCTCATTAATTAAGTAATGCACTGTTTTCCATTGTATCTCTTGCTTTGAATCTGCCTTTTGAGTGTCAAATTTTCTAAATCCCTTTTTCCTAGAGACTTCAACTGTGTCTTTAAAATGTTGAATATGTGTTCTTCCTTTATTCATTTTCTTCCGTCGTTGCACATTTATTCAGTCCATGTTATTCTCAGCATCCTTCTGTAGAACCACATTTCCGTTGCCTCATGTCTCTTATTCAGGACATTATCCAGCATGTACTATCATGTAGGAGGGCTAATATTACATGACTGTTAAATACTCTTTTCCATGTTTCTAACGAAATTTCACTGCTAATTAATACTTTGTTTAGCATTTGGAAGACATCTTTCGTATCTTAATGGGACTTCGGATTTCCGTGTCACACTTCCTATATAAATTGTTGTACTTTCTTGATTTTGCCATTTCCAGCTTGTAATTCTCTTGTTCAATTCTTCTGTTTGCTGATAGCCATAGATTCTCAACCATTTTTCTCGCTTTACATTCTGTAGAAGTTCTTGTAGTTTCTTTTCTGTGTCTACTGTCAAAACTGTGTCATCATATTGTCTAATGTTTTTAAGATCGTGGCCATCAATAATGAGTCCTGATAGGATTTCTAATTCTCTCACAATCACCTTAACGCCAGTCCATTGAGATGATACATTCTTGTCATACATCCATTTCTACTTTGTATATTTACTGAATTCATATTCTATCTGCATGCAAGGGATTTGTTCCCACTATAACTTTATAACTACAACTCGGTTATTCTAATATATTTGACAAAATAAATCGAGCTTACTTAGCAGTTTTAACAGTTCGTTATGTCATGTTTTTGCATAATATATACAACATCCTTCTGTATTTGGATTGATCCTTATGATATCATTCAGAGCATAACTATGACGTTCCAAGTTCTAGTGTTTTTAACGAAACTGCGTTGTTCTTATCGTATTCCCAGCCTAATTCTGCTTCGTGCTCTCTTCATTTGAATTCGATTAAATTTGGTTCCGCTGCTCATATTTTTTTTTAAATCATTTTACCTATCCTTTCATAATAGACTCGTGTAGATAGAAAAAATGACGCCGCTTCCAATCCTACATATAATCATTTATGCTCTCAAAAAATAATGCAGATGATTCATTTATAACTTCAAAATATAAAAATGTTTTCTCGAAGGTATTAACTGCATTTAATATCTCATTAAGGCAAAAACAGCTTCACCAAGCACCACATTCTCGTTAATGGCCTATTTTATACACATCAGTGTACACGGATTTCTTTAGAAAATATGTCGCCAAGTCGATTTAGAATTTTGTCTGGAAAACCTTTCAATAATTCCACGTGACATTCCATTTCGTTTAATATCCACCAGTACGAATAAGGCAATATTCAAACATACTTTTATGTATATATATATATATATATATATATATATATATATATATATATATAAAAGAAAAAATTAACACACCAGTTTTTTTTTTTCCTTCTTGACCTATATTATTGTTGAAACTTGACTAATGCATGGAATAATAATACAACACAAAATATACTTAGAACAAAATGTATTGAAACAAAAAGTGTACACAATATTTACATATAGTCTTTTGCTATATTCTTGGGAAGACCGTTCCTGGAGAATGGGTTGACTTAGTCGCAGTCGGCAGAGTGTCTGGATTGAATCTCTTGATTCCTTCCCCCGTCTTCCCGGTACCAACCATATTTATATGGTCGGTACTCCACTACGCAAATTAGGTGGATCCTACCACAACAATTATATTGCTTTGTATGAAAATACATTGAGCTCTCTTCATGGATCTATCTTTTTAATATTTTATATTAAAAGAACCTACTGGGATTATCCTTACCAATTAATGGTTTGATTGATCTATCTATCTATCTATCTATTATCTATATATATATATATATATATATATATATATATATATATATATATATATATATCCGTGTGTGTATGTGCGCCTGTGTATGCGTGTGTGTGAGAGATTAACTGATTCCAAGATGTTCCAAGAAAAGAGGTTAAAATTTTTGTTGTGGCTTTCACCAAAATGTTGTGGGTGCTGTCTATTCCTAATATAATGGGTTTTATTATGATACCAGTTTTGTTGGAGACCGTAAAATTTGGGTGTTCCGGGGGGATATTCTATTCTGTTCTTTTTTTATTATTATTAAACAGTACATTTATTTATTTATATCTACCGGCCTGAATATTCCAGAAATCTTGCTAGAATAATATGCACACTCCGGCAGGATTCAAGGCTGCGTCGAAGACACCTCAGATGATCTAATGACGGTTTTCCCCTAGGGAATCTATCTATCTATCTATCTATCTATCTATCTATCTATCTATATAGATAGAAATATAAACTGTTATATATATAAACTATTATATATATAGTATGTTATGTATATATGTTATGCATAAATATAATTTTAATATATATATGTAGATATATTTATATGTGTGTGTATGTGTGTGCTCAGTATCATGGTTTGGCCGTATGTAAATATAAAATATAATAGTGGACATTGGAGGCAACACGTAGATGCGACAGTCTGTTTCAATCTTGAGCGTAATCTTCAGGCCAAATGCCGACGAATGTGCTCAAGCATGAAACAGACTGTCACCTCTGGATGTTGACTCCAAGGTCTACTTATATAGCAAGTTTTGAAAAACCATGTTTATTATTATAATGTTTAAACTTTGCCACACTGTCTCCTCTCCTCTCCCTCTCCCTCCCTCCATCCATATATATATATATATATATATATATATATATATATATATATATATATATATATATCGAGAGAGAGAGAGACAAACAAATATACAGACAGAATCTGTGTGTGAGAGTAAGTGATTCGCGACTAATTTCCCGCCATATTTGTTTCCAGTTTCTTCAAAACCCACAGATTAACCAGTATTTTATACAACTACTTTATACTAATATATAGTACGCAAGTGAGTTACAGTTACTTATAGTAATTCAACAAGGCCAGTTCGTCCAAATCTTCGATATCGAATCAATTACTACATCTTCTGCTCGGAAAGTTGGTTCACTAAAACGTGCCAGATATTTTTTTCTCTTTGTGCTTATCTGGTCGGGTGATCTTGCAGTATATCTCAAGGTTCTTGACAAAACATCAAGAATACTCTGTAATGTAATCGATCCTAACCCGGCATCTCGTCATCAATCACTTTCTCACCGACGTTCCCTCTTCCTTTTCTATAAATGTTTTCAAGGCAATTGTTCGGATGGACTTTTCCCCTTAGTGCCTCGACTGCTTGAATTTAGCTAAATTGGCAACTAGGTCTAAACATTTTGCTGTTGAACTCGCTGGATGCATATGTCTCTTCTATTCTAACATTTTCTTTTCTCGCAGTTTTCTTGTCTATGAAACTCTCTACTGATTTCATGCTTCCCTGTCATGTATGATCTTCAAGAAATTAAATTCAACACCAGTCGCCATCTTCTGTCTTTCTGGATCCTGTTTATTCTTTGTCCTTTGGACTCACTTCTTCTCACTAATGTTTTCTTTTATTCTTTCAATCACCTCTAAACCTCCGCGTCCGAGTGGCATTATCGCCTTACTTGGGGTGAAATGATGAAAGAAAATGATGACTTTGTGCTAACACCATCACTGACGCCTTTTGTACCCGCTTTTAATGAAAAAAAGAAATAATTCAGTGCATAGATTGTTTTTCAAACCTTTTTGTCGGTTTAATAAAAAGTCACTTGCTCAAGTTCAAATCAAACGGTCACTCACACCTAATATATATAAGTAATTCATCGACTCTGAAAGAAACTTCAACAGAATGCAGAAAGTACTGGACGGCCGTTCTATCCTATATTTAAGAGTCATCAGCAGTGCGCCTCCACGACCGAGAATTGAAACCCTGAGAGTTAGGTTGTCAAGCAAGCATCATAACAAGTGTTCCAATGGGCCTCGGCGACGAATAGATTGCAAATCAGACTCAATATAGCGCCGCTCGCTCACATATTCCGTGGAGAACTTCTTACTGAGTTCACTCTAACCATAGGATTGTAACCCTGCTCACTCTACTATCATAAGAGGCCAGTTAAAGCATAAAAGGCCAGTTCAAAGAAATGTACATGATAGGATTTGATAATTTGATATTTATTTAAGTAATTCATCGAGTCAGAAACCAACAGAATGCAGAAAGCACTCGTGAATTACTTAAATATAATTATCAAATCCTCCTAATAATTTCTATATATATATATATATATATATATATATATATATATATATATATATATATATATATATATATATATATACACTGAGAGATATTCTTATATGATTGAATGTGCAGGTGGTGCAGTGCATAGTAGAGGGAAATTAAAGTTCAGGGCGTTAATTTTATATTCCAGTTGACTAAAACCAACAGAAAACACTGTGGACGTTTAAATAATCAATACCTGTTAGAAGAACACGCATGCTGAAGCCTCTCACTACCTTATCGTTATTTCCGTGTAAAACTACATTCCTCAGCCACCCCCCTAGTTCTAACCTTCAAAGCTAAGACCCACCATTCTACGCACACCGTAGAGAAATACCATCATTCCCTTCGTATTCCAGTGCTAACATGTATGTTCCACGAACCGCTGCTTTTTGGGACCGACTCCCAAGAGCCCCCGATCACTATAATCTTACCCTGTTCAAATCTAGACTTAACCGTTATATTCAACACATATACCTATAAATTGTATCTCTTACTCAGGTGTCTCCCGGGACTTATACAGGGTGAACATTGTTGTAAAGAAAATACCATAATACTTTCTCTTCCACATATACATTCGTGTTGCTACCCAAATGGGCTACTATCCAAGTTTTATTGGCAATATTTTCTGGACTAACCGAGGCGCCATCCTTGAAGCTTTAGTTTTTGAGTGACACACTTAGAGTTAGGATGAGATAAGATTCGAAGTTTGTTAACGTTTACTAGACTAATATCGTATCACCCCAAAAAATCCCGATTTTGCAACGCCTCTAGGTTTCTCATATGTCCTAGTGTTTTTTTTTTTTAAATTCAGATTTTCATGCTACTTCGTTTCCACATTAAACCCAGAATACCGCCAGTTTCAAAAATATTTTTTCGCGAAACTGTTAAATCCTCTTCATATTCATGACGACACCATGACTGTGTCCGGCAGCAAGTCTTCTGATCGGGAAACTGTAAGTTTTGACGTACGTGGAACCACCTCTTAACTGCCGTTATTCTTAGGTCTAACCTGACCCGGGGTGATAGCACTTGTTAGGGTCCCAACTATGGACAAATAGTGAACCAACATCAAACAAAAGCATATAAAAGTATAAAAGTACTTTTCTATTATAAAAATTCCAGCAATATATTTGCATATCAAAATAGCAACACCACTTATGTATAGAAAAATTATCAATAATACGTCAATCAACATGAAAGAGCACGTTCATGTCATTAATTTATATGTCCTAAAATTTTTAATATGAAACTGTATTCCAAAATATAATTTCAACAAAACTACAACATAAAACACAAATATCACTGCCTTTAGCAATTGTGTCCATACAAATATATGCACAAAGATGAGTTTCAACTACCATGTATTCAATTGTGAAAGCAGCGTGACATATATTTTTTTATTAAGAAAAGTAAATATTTGCATTACGGGCCCATAAGGAGTTGTTATGCCGTTAAACATATCAAACTAAAAAATGATTACCATAATTACTCTTTACCTATTTCTTAACTCACCTGGATGAGTCCATTTCTACAGGTGACGGAGGACGAAGACATCGAGGTTTATCCACCGTCTTATGTTTTATCCTTCATTTTACCATGGCATTTTCATAAATCTACATTGGTTTTGTCAAAAATCATTCTTTCATTTCATAAAAGGTATTTTGGGGACCAACTCAATAGATACATTACTTTTTAAATTGATTATTTCTTCTTATACATGTTATTTTTAGTGGGTACATGTGCTTGAGTTAAGATTCCTGTGTTTTTTTTTTTTTTTTTTTTTTAGGATTTCTTGATATAGTTTAAGAAAAGAAAATACAGGTATGCCAAATCAATCATCAGAACCCAATAAAATAACGTTTAGAGTAATAGGATGTTGCTTTACAAACATATAAAGTCTAATACTTGTTTGTTCAAGCCGGTAAATATATTGTGTTTTATTTCTTTTTGCTTGTCGGCCTTGGATATTATTATTATTATTTTTTTACTTTTTTAAAAGCAGGTTACTTTCTTACACATGTCAATCTTCTTCTATAGACCATGCCCTTTCTCAATTGTTCAATCTACTTGATTGTTCAATATGAAATTGACGATTTCAATTCTGCTTCAAATTATCACCAATTTCTTTCTCTCAATGATGTTTTTTTTTCCATAAAACATTATTTTGAACAATTTAATTTTTTTTTAGTTATTTAATAACACGTTTCTTACACGTATAAAAGCCAAAGATGTACATGCTGGTCTGAATAGTATCTCTCATAATAATGATAATTCCTCATTTTAAAAATGCTGATAAAATATTTGTTTCGTTCTATTGACTTTTACACCTTCGGCAAGTATAAAAAAATAGCTAAACGCTTATTTTAAAATGAGGAATTATAAATCAGGAGTAAATATTTCGATTTAGAATTTAGGGAGATAATTAAGTCAATATTATGCCTCAGGTTTCAAAGGTTAAAAAGAAAAGAAAGTGATAAAATCTTTTGTAAAAATAAACTCGAAATGCAATCTCGTATACCAATGAGAATCATTTTAGCTGTCATAGAAAATATTCATAGATGGATTAACATCAAATGAATTGGGAAAATATAAATTTTAGAATGGTTTGAATTAAATAATCAGATTTTTGGATGTGGTGATGAAAACTTTTATTCAGAGAACTGATTTTTCATAATAACGAATATTTGCTGGAAAAATAGTTCTTTCATACTCAATAAACTCTTTCACAATGGACAATCAATACATGAAAGTTCGGTTTGAGAAACAGCTTCATATAATGCCTTCCATAATGAAAACAATAATCGTTTGAATCCTAAAATGTATAATATGGTTGATGGGGTTTGTTTAGAAGCATATCAATCTTTATGGGTGTTTTACTGCTGAAATCTCAATAATTTGAGCATAATTTTATGGCTTCAACGAAATATATTTTGAAGAGAATTGTATGCGTTCACCTAAAGATAAAATGTATTACTGGTCATTTCGCTTTAAATATGTATTGTTGGTCATTTTACAATAAATATGTAGTGTTGTTCCTTTTTATATAAAAATGTATTGCCGGTATGTTTACTATAAAAATATATTTTTATACTTTCATAGTGTTGCGTTTCAGGGTTCACTATTTGCTCATAGCTGGGACCCTAACAGGTGCTATCACACCGTGCTGGGAACGACAGCAATTTAGAGGTGGATCCACGCTCCTCAAACCTTCAATCCTCCGATCAGAGGCCTTGCTGCCGGATGTAGTTTATCGTCATACCCAGGATGCATGTTTATGATAACCAATAACTGTAGAGTTGCAAAAGTTACATTATTTGTGTTATACCAGTATTTTTTTTTTTTCAGACTCTCAACATGTTGTACCAATGTCTCCCATGTAGTTTATCTTTTATTTGCAAAGCATACGAGTTTTTTTTTTTAACAGAAATGTATGAACCTACCCTGAATAAAACTGATAGATGCTCACAATCAATATATCTATTTTTGATCGAAAATCTTCTTCAATAAAACGACGATTGATATAAAATAAGTACACGATTATTTTGTTTAAATTAATCGGCAATTACATGTTGAACAAGGTCATCATATTACTAATTTCTATCTATCTATCTATCTATCTATCTATCTATCTATCTATCTATCTATCTATCTATTATATACATATATATGTATATATATATATATGTGTGTGTGTGTGTGTGTGCATGTGTGTGTTTGTGTGTATTCAGATTCATTGCATACATAAAATGTTCTAAAAGTAAAATGTCATTTTTTTACTGTACCAATAAATAAAGAGAAAACTTTATTAGAAACAAAGAAAAACGTTCTTGTTTGCTAGGTGATATCCATCCTCTTACATGTCAGTGGATACTGGACAATCTCCCCAGGGATAAGGCAAAGACAGGAGCCAGCCTAAATGTTTTTTCTACGGAAGGATACTGAAAATTCCATAGAGGGAACGCGTAAACACCGAGAAATTCTTTAAGAAAATGGCAACGAAAAAGGCACATACTTAGAATCAGAAATAGAGAGCTGAAATACCTTGAACACATAAAGCGGAAGGAGGGCTTTGAAAACTTTGCCCTCACCGGACATATTGAGGGCAAAAGACAGAGAAGGTGGGAGGGAGCAAGAAAAAGTAGGGGAAGTCAGCGAGTCATCTTTTGTGAAAAACTGCTAATGGCCACAAGGGATAGGAAGCTTTAGAGAGCCATGATCGCCCATGTTCTGAACGAATGCGGCTCATGCAAGAAGAAGAAGAAGAAGAGAAAGACGAAGAAGAAGAAGAAGAAGAAGAAGAAGAAGAAGAAGAAGAAGAAGAAGAACTGTGATATGTATCTTTATATATATTATGAATATCAGATTTTATCTATCTGACAAAATATCCTAAATCGCATTGGAATAGCGAAAGATGCCTCCCCCCCCAAAATTAAAAAGTATTAAGAAACAGAGAAATTTCATTGGGGAAAAAGATTACGGAAATAGTATATAATAGAAATTATTTTTATATGGTAGCAAATTCTGGAAAATTCGTAGATGAATAGTGACTTAAGGCAACAGAAACTTGGTTCTACAAATGGATGATGAGAATTTCATGAACGTAAAATTGTGAGCAACGCTGACGTAAATGGAAACTGGACATTTTGCTTAGAATTAGAAAGAGACTGTTGAAATTTCTGGGACACATAATTAGGAAAGAAGCTTCGAAAAATTTAACAAAGAACATATTGAAGGCAAAAATTGCAGGAAAAAACAGTGAGTAACATACCTGGATGGTTAGTTAGCTGGTCGGTTCGTATTGTTTAATGGCATATCAAACTTCTATTGGATATTTAATGCGGAAATCTAAATATTTTGTACGAAATGTCAATTTTATTTTGTAATTATGGAGGAAATAATGATTTTAGCGATACAAGTCTTACTCATTGACCCATAGCTGGGGGAGAAGAGGTGGATTCGTACTTTTACCAAGCGTATTTGCGCGGAAATGAATATAACAAACCTTAACTGAAATTAGGATTCGACTCTCCGATCAAAAATTCTGAGCCATTGTCTATTATACAACCCATTAGCACATGGTATTCTCAAGCGGTCACCCATCTAGTTACTACACAGCCTCGACATTGCTTAACTTATGTGATCGCACGAGAACTAACGTTTGAGCGTGAAATGGCCGTAATCCCAGACAAAAATGGCTGACAGAACAGGGAGTGAGCGCAACAGTGAAGAAACAAAAATTATTTACGAGGCATAGGAAGTCGTAAAGAGTATTGACCGCCCACGTAATGAAAGGGCACGGTCCATAGAAGAAGATTGACATGTGTAAGAAAGTAACCTGCTTTTAAAAAGTATAAAAAATAATAATAATATCCAAGGACGGTAAGCACAAAGAAATAAAACACAATATATTTAGCGGCTTGATCTAATACCGCTTACTAATGAGTTATACTTTTTTATGTTAACATGGGTGTGTTTGTTTACTGGTATCGAGTAACAGCTAACGTTACCATAACAACGACTACTTTATTACGAAGAACATAAGATCAGGATGTGTGACATATGTTTATAGTTTTTGTTTTATATTAGAGAATAGATTGAGAAGCAGCTAATTATCTGTTGCTAATTGTTTTGCTGTTCTATTGAGTGTGTGTGTACGAGGTCGTGCTGATACATTCTCGGCCCAACTCAGTCCCCTTTCTCCACCCCGCGCAAAAAATATTTTGGATATCTGGACATTTGATTAGATATGATGAAGTGAGTTGATTACGCCATTTTCCACACTCGCTCTTATAAAATCTGACCCGTTGCTTGATACAGGGTTAGTTAAAATTATGTTAAGTCTCAAATGGTAGAAATCATTTATTCACAAAACATAGATCATATGAGCAAGATGATTTACAGGACGCTCTTAATATGTTCGCTATAATATTCAGCAAACAAAAAACAGTTAGCAGCAATAGCATTTAAAGCTCAGAAACTCATTTCAATGAAAATACGATATCTGATATATATATATATATATATATATATATATATATATATATATATATATATATAAGCATAAAACATTAGGCAGCATATAATTTATATACAAAGAAATAATCACACATAGAATCAATCAGCAATATTAATGCTATTATTGGCGACATCCATCGCTAGTAGTGTATAATGTATGCATTAAAATACTGTTAATCCATAGATCCGTGATACCCTTGAAAACAAATTTCATGATCAAGATTTATATGTTAGTTTGAGAATAAAGCATCTTATGGATTAGCATCGGTGGGCGAGGTTTCCTCCCAGGAAATCAACGGTCACGTCTCCGTGAGATAAAAACGAGATGTGTGTTGTGTTTTGGCTCAAGTAGTGCGTTGGTGCATAATTATCAGGCGTTTTTGTAGGCGAGTTATTTAATAAAAATTGCTGTTGTGTTTACATTTTTAATAAAAATATTATTTTATTTTCATGTTATAAAAGTCTCTGTCGATAATCATACGCTCCAGAATAATGATTTAAAAATGTTATTGTTGAATTGTTATGTTTCTTTTTCACAATAGATATTGTTAAAAAAACGCCTGGTAATTATGCACCAACCTAATGTTTGTCAATGGCGCATTAAGGGTAATAGAGTCTATTGTATCCTTTTAATATTTATTGGGTGGGTGTTAACGTTTATGTTTCAAATTATTTTAAATGTTATTGAGTAGAAATGATTATGAACCTACATGCTCGTATTTGTAGCTATTTTAATCATTAATTATTATTGAGTAATTTGTTGATGAATATTATTATTATATTTACTTGTGCTAATGTGCGCATTCGTATGTATGCAATCTTCTGTGGTCTGATATGGAGAGGGATGGGCCACGCTAGGTGTACTCGGACAAGATACACTGTGCATGAATAAATACCTCCTATCTTTCAACCCAGATATTGGCGCGCAGTGAAGATTTTTGGCGGGAGCCGACCAAGTATTCAGCTGCGCAGCAACAATAAGGCTACGCGGTAACAGTCGTGGAAATGATGATGAGGATGATGATGTTAGATGAAAATAGCCCCTAGTCATTAAAGAAAACATTTCTTTTCAGAGTACTAGCTTGGAAACATGGGAAAATAAAATATGGAAGTTGAATAATCGGAGAAATGAGTAGTGGAAAATTTAAAATAACATTTATTTCTCTTCTAATGTGCCGTGTACCAAAAAGCTCCTGGGTATGACGATAAACTATATCATGCAGCAATGCCTCTGATTGAGGGATTGGAGGTTTTGAGGATCTTTGATAAACATTTCTTAATTGCTATTATTCTCTAACCGGGGTGGTAGCCTCCATCAAAAACAAAAACAAAAAAAAACAAAAGATAAGACTATTTATAGTAAAATTACCAGCAATACATTTGTTTATATGAAAAAATTACCAACATTACGCACATAGTAAGAAATTACATAAGTCTAGTTAAAAACTTCTATTAAATAAAATCTTCTCAAAATAAGTTTTGAAAAAAAAATAATATTAAATGTATATCTCTTGACAAAATCCAAATAAGGGCCTGTAATGCCCTGATTTGACATCTTGGATTCAGTCACTTTCTCAACAACGTGACGTGGCTTTCCTTCTGTCTTTTCTACAAATATTTTCATGACAACTGCTCTGACGAGATTTTTTTCCCTGGTACCCGAGTACATGAATTTAAGCGTAACACTCGATTGACATAGAAATCCCTCCTGTTTACTGTTGAAATAGTTAAATGCAACCGACACCTCTACACCAATAGTTGCTTCTCCTTTTTTTTTTTTTTTTTTTTGAATTTCCAACCTGTGGAACTCTCTTTCATTTCCTTGCTTTCCTGATAGCTACAATCTTCAAAAATTGAAATGCAACTTCAATCGCTACTGCCTATCTTCCTGAAACCTGTTCATCATTTGTACTTTCCTCAGTCCCTCTCAGACTTCTCTTTCACTTTCATTCCACGTAATCCCCTGCCTGCTGGTGGCATTACCGCCTTGTTTGGGGTGAAAGGATTTTTTTTTAAATCATTTTTAACGTTTATTTTTTTCAAAAATATAAACCCATCCGTTAATATTTTCCGCTTTACCGGCAAGATGATAATTTCAGCACTTGTCCAATCCTTTTTCTTTTATGTGCCGTGTCTCTTGATGACATAGGTAATAAGTGTTCCCCAAAATCTAGTTTTTGTTCTGCCATCTATTTACACAAGATCATTAAGTTAAGTTACTGATAGTTTTCCTCTGCGCTCATGCCTTCACTAGGTTCTGTGAGTGTCAATTTCTCCAAGTCTACTTTCCTCATATGGGTGCTAGACGTTTCCTCTGTCTATTTCCAATCCAAACAAAATTTTTCTTTTTGTTACCATTTTCCTTAAAATTCTTTCGTTGTTCAATATCCTTCTGTAGAACTTCATATCTGTACCCTAAAGTATCTTATTCAGATTTAGGAAATTTTCCAGCATTCACTGCTATATAGAAGGTCAGCTGGAAAGTTCACAGGCTGACCAAGATATAAATCTAAGTAGACGCAACATTTGCTAGATTAAAATAAAAAGTTGTACCAGAATATGGTTCTAAGAGGGTTGCGTACTGTTTAGAGTAATTAAAGATATTGGTGGGCCAATTTCTATATTAAACATATCTTAAGAAAAAAAAATGGTAAAATATCAGAGGTACTCAATTATTCAGGGGGGGCATTTGTCTAGGGGCGCAAATGTCCAGGGACGCAATTATCTGGTTCGCAATTGTCCGGGACATCAAATGTTCAGTACGCAACAGTCCGTCCACCCCAGAATACAACAGCTGGTCGTTCAAATGTTGTATTTTGGTACACTTCCATGTCTTTTAGTATACCAACTACGGACCTGCCACAAATGGTCTTCGGGTGCCACGGACAAAAATTGTTGGCAAAATAAAAAATATCTGCAAGAAAAAAACTTCCAAATCATCAGCTATGTATTTCAAAATTTGCGGGCTTAGCAAAAAAGTTGTATTACTTCTCAAAATGTCTACCTGGCGGTGTTAGCGGGTCTTTCAATTGTAAACAAAGACGGAAAGTACGATACATTATCGCGTGCATAAGAAAGTAGCTGTGAGAAATGCATTATTTTTTGTTATTTTTATTAATATATCTATATTAAGCATATATCTATTTATGACATATGATACATGTTATTTACATTATGATCATAAATAATAGTTCCTATAATGGTTTTATAACTCAAAAATAATCCCTTCCCATCTACGGACAATCGGCATTAACGGACCTCGCCTTCCCCCTATTGGTCCGTTGATGAGAGGTTTGTCTGTACTTACATTTATATTCTGGTCAACCTATGAACATTCCAGGTGAACTTTGTATTTTAACTTAATACTATTATCTTTGTTTCCAATGAAATTCTTCCTGTTAATACTTTTTTGTTTGCTTAATTTTAACAAGCATCTTTCGTTATTCAACTTAGCCTGCGTATTTCTTGTATCACATTTTCTGTTAAAATATTTCAAAGATAAATTTCTGTACTTTCTGTAATTTCCGTATTTTGACGACTGCACTTTGTCGGCAACACTCTTCCTAATGACTATATATCCTATATTCTTATAATTGATGCTTTTTTTTCCAACGCACTCACAGTTCATTGAGTATGACAAAAAGTTCCATCATTCGAGATTAATCTCTCTTAATATGTTAATGTCTCCATCTGAAATTGCAACATGTTGATCTTATTATTTAAATTCAACAGCCTTCAACCTACGCCTAAAAAAGCAAAAAAAAAAAAACAACTCAATAACATATCCTTTTATATCAAGGAGCCATTATTCCCTGACATTAGCACAAAAGCCCATCAGCTATATACAGCGACCTCTAACGGATGTCCTTATCGTTCGATATGACCGAAGTCATATATAATAACAAGACAGACAAGAGGCAGCTTCAGAAGTTAGAGAGACTGCCATCGATTGTGAAAAATCGATCTGTTTTAACAGTGGTTGTAGTTTAAAGACTGTGCCATTCCGTACAACAAAGAAGCCCAATTTACGAAGACATCCAAATTGGGTTGATCTCCTCCTCGACCTATGATCATTAATTCATTGGGGGGGGGATCTGGCTGTTCCTGGCTTCAGTATCTGATCTATTTGAAATCTCTTGACCTTCTCTAACGTAATAACTATT